CTAGGGTTTGGCAGTGGCTTATGACAAGTGAAACTCGGTGGCGCCGGATAGAAAGAATTGGTAGGACCGAGTTTGGCTTAGGGTTTAGGTCATATGTGGAAGTGGGAAAGTAGCTGAGGATTTTGGAGCATATCATTAAGCACATGAAGCAAGAGGCTCATTAAGCAACACCTCATCCCTCCTTGATAGTATTGGCTTTTCCTATGGACTCAATGTGATCTTGGATCACTAAAATGTAAAATGAAGAGTCTTGAGCTTTAAGCTTTAGCCAATCCTTTGTCCTTAGCATCTTGAAGGAGTTCCCACAACTTTTAGTCCATGCCACTCCATTGTTGAACTTATCTGAAACATGCTAGATAGAAATGTTAGTCCAACAAGAGATATGTTGTCGTCAATTATCAAAACCACCTAGGGAGCACTTGTGCTTTCACCACCCTATGCAGTTCGACCAGCTATTTCAGCTGATCGCTGAAGGGCACCAGATGTTCTGGCGCGCGATATTGCGACCAGAACAACTTCTTCATGGAGCTTCCTTCTTCGGCTCGGAAGAACTCCGCGGCATCGGTCACACGGCGTGGCAAATCAGCAAAGGCCCCTGGAGAACTCTGAATCCGGGTTAGTAAAAGAAATTTCCTCTTCACACTCTTGCTTTGCATATTGAATGCCTTACCCGCCGCGATCTTCCTGGCCTCCTGGATATCCCGGAGGGCGCCCTGAGCTTCAATCCAGGCCATCTCCGCACTCTTACGAGCCTTGGTGAGTTCGGCCTCTTGAGCTGATGCATTGTGTTCCAAGGTCTCACACTTCCCCACCGCGTCTTGGAGCTCCTGTTGGACTTCGTTGACCCGGGCCTTGAGCTTCTTACGGGCGGCCTGCTCCTTGACAACCTTCCCCTCGGCTTCGGCCAGGGCCTTTCTCAGGGCCTCAACCTCGGTTGTCGCTTCTGTACAAATCATGGCATTTCGGTCAATACATATCATTTTACCTTTTTCGAATACATAACGGGTGATCACATACCTTGTTTCTCTTCGACCTGCCTCCTCACCTGGCCGAGCTCCTCCTCGGCCTGCTCCAGTCTTCGCTTCAGTTCGGAGACCTCGGCAGTATGTGAGGCTGCGGCCAACAGCGATGCCTGCATATCCATTTCAGACATTTTCGTTAGTTTCCTGCAATAAAGGACAGTGTCTCAGGGGCTACTGTCTATATTGGGATTTTCTCTTTAGCGCCGCTTACCTCAAAACCTGTCAGCAGGATGCTGCAGGCTTCGGTTAGTCCGCTCTTGGTGGACAGAACCTTTTCAATCACTGTGCTCATAAGAACGCGGTGCTCATCCACAATGGAAGCGCCTCGCAGCGCTTCCAGCAGATTATCCGGTGCCCTTGGTTGGACAGGGGTCACTAGCGGGATAGGCATACCCCCTTCTTTCGAAGGAGGTTGCGTGCCGGATTCTGGAGCCATATCGGTCTCCTGAACCGGGTCCGGTTGAGGGCCGAACTGAATACGGCCCTCCTCACCACCAGTCTCCATGGAGATCGGCTCCCCCTGGTGTCTGGCGACGGAGGCATCGCCTTCTGGCGCCTCCTGAGCCTCTCCCTAGCCTGGGAAAGTCCTCCGGGACAGCACCTCTGCGTCGTCCTTGGCCTTGGGGGAGTGAGCGGCCGGCGGTGACTCGCTGGCCATCACCTTTGAGTCCAACGAACCTCCTGACAAGGATCGCTGGAGGCGGTCATGGACAGGACTATAATAACATAACCAATCATGTCAGTACAATGAGGAGGTGAGACTTGATTTATAGGCAGACATGAGGCTTAGCACTTACGATGCAGCCCGAGGCTTAGTGCGGGGGCGTTGCTCCGGACTGCTCTCGACGTCCCAGGCAGAGCTGCCCACGAGTGGTCCTTTCCCCTTCTTAGGCGCCTCCGCCTCCAGAATTGTGGAGGCCGCCCTCTTTTTCCTCCCCCCATCACGGGGAGAATCGCTTTCCTCCTCCTCATCATCATCATCATCGTCGTCTTCGGCGGCGGAGGAGCAGGTCTTGTCTTCGGACGTCATGTCCGAAGCACCCTTACGACGGGGCCCGCTCTGGACCCCCTTGGCCTTTCCTGTGGCCTTCTTCTCCGGCGCCTTATAGGGCGCTGGCTCCAGCATCTTCGCTAAACGCGGGGTGACTGGTTCTTCAGGCAGCGGAACCGGACACCGGATCTGATTCGCCCTCTTCAACCAGTTCTGAAGAAGCAACGATAATAAAAGCTTAGATATCATCCCTGAAACAAGCAAGTAGGGGATGTGTTGAAAATAACATACCTCGTTGGGGAGGTGGTTAATGTCGTGCCTGCGGTCCGAATCTATGGCCGGAGGTATCTCATTGCCCTTGAAGAGCAACTTTCAGGCATCTTCGTGAGTCGTTTTGAAGAGCCTCTCCAGGTTATGGTGCTTCTTTGGATTGAACTCCCATAGAGGGCGGCTCCGGCTTTGGCAGGGGAGGATCCGGCGCACCATCATCACTTGGATTATGTCGACGAGCTTGATGTCTTTATCCACCATGCTTTGAATGCGCGTCTGCAGCGCTGTCAGCTTGTCTGGCGAACACCAGTTCAGGCTCTTCTCAACCCAGGAGGTGAGTCGCGTGGGAGCGCCAGAGTTGAATTCGGCTGCTGCGGCCCAGGCGGCGCCGCGGGGTTCTGTGCTGTAGAACCAATATTTCTGCCACTCTTTTACGGTCTCCATAAAAGTACCTTTTGGCCAGGAGACATTGGCCAGCTTGCTCACCATGGCACCACAGCACTCCGCGTGCTGGCCATCCACCACCTTCGGCTTCACGTTGAAGACCTTGAGCCACAACCCGAAGTGGGGTTGGATGCGGAGGAAGGCCTCGCACACGACGATGAACACCGAGATGTTGAGGAAGGAGTTCGGGGATAGATAATGGGAATCTAGCCCGTAATAGAACATAAGCCCGCGAACGAAGGGGTGGAGTGGAAACCCTAGTCCACGGAGGAAATAAGGATGAATACTACCCTCTCGTTGGGCTTCGGCATGGGGACGATTTGTCCCTGGGCTGGAAGGCGGTGGGCAATTTCCTTCGCCAAGTACCCGGCCGCCCGAAGCTCGTCAATGTCCTCCTCCTTGACAGAGGAGGCCATCCACTTGCCTTGACCTCCGAATTCGGACATGGTTGAGTGCTTCCTCGAGTGTGAAACATATGGGAACTTGGGCGCTGGAGCTCAAGAGTGGAAAGGCAGAGGAAGAGAGAAGGCGTGGGAGAAGGAAGGGGAATCTTATCTCCTTATAAGGGCAGTGAATATTGAACGCCTCCCCACTCGCCTTAAAATTCGCCTACTCCCAAGGGCTATGTAAATGGCACGGTTGGGTTACCCACGCCCGTATTGATGAGAATCCCGCAATAAGGGGACACGATCTTTGCTTCAACAAGACATGCGAATAGCAACCGCGCCTCGAGACATGGGGCAGCAGGCGAAAAACGGTTTGAAATTATGCCCGGACAGACGTGATGTCATGTTGTAAAAAGTTGTCAGCAGATTGGACTCGTGGATTATTATATTCTCTCTGCGGTTGTGTGTAGGGTGTGTGTTACAGGTCCGGACACGAGCAATACGTCCGAAGACTATCTTGGAGTTCGGAAGGAGGAACCCGCCTTGCAATGTCGAAGACAGATCTACGCGCCGGATACCTTGTCATTGAAGCCAGGTTCATGGGCTACTGAGGGAGTCCTAGACGAAGGGGTCATCGGGCGTCCGACCTGTTAGCCATGGGCCGGACTGATGGGCTGTGAAGATACGAAGACCAAAGACTGTACCCATGTCCGGATGGGACTCTCCTTGGTGTGGAAGGCAAGCTTGGCGACCGGATACGTAGATTCATTTCTTTGTAACCGACCTTGTGTAACCCTAAATCCTCCCGGTGCTTATATAAACCGGAGGGGGAGGTATTCATTACCATAGCCATACAAGCTAGACCTCTAGGGTTTAGCCATTATGATCTCGAGGTAAATCAACTCTTGTAATACTCGTATTCATCAATATCAATCAAGCAGGACGTAGGGTATTACCTCCATATAGAAGGCCCGAACCTGGGTAAATATCATGTCCCCTATCTCCTGTTACCATCGACCTTAGACGTACAGTTCAGGACCTCCTATCCGAGATCCGCCGGTTTTGACACCGACAATGACCACACAAGGACTTGAAAATCACGTGCCCGGAGCCTGAATCCCACATGTCGCGTGAGCACTGGTCGTCGCCCTAGCTATGCGTACCAATCTCCGACAATACTGAAAAAGACCCCACACGTGAGGCAAGGCGGCAAGCCACCGCACCCAGCCCCCTACCAAGCACGCCGATGTGCACATCCATCAGCCATCGCCCCTCCAAATTCACCGGAGCATCTCACGACGGGGAGGAAAGGGGAGCGGGAGGGGAGGGATGGTGCCAATAAAAGACTCCTCCCGTGCCGTTCCTGGGAGAGCGATGCGGGGGTTCAAGAGGCATACCGTGAGAGCATCTTTCATATTGTGTTTTTCGAAAGAAAAATCCACGAATTAGTTCACTGCCCCGTGATAAATCTCACACTTTTCACTTTTATCAGTGATGATGACGCGGTCCGACGTAAAAGCAGGAAGTGTAACGTGACAGTGGTGCTCAGAAAACGTGCACCGTTGGATGGCATCGCCTCTTTACCGTCCTGGCCCCAAGCGCGCAGATGATTCCCTCCACAGACCCGAGGAGCTCCAAGTCTCCACCCATCCCGGCCACTCTCGTACGGACCCGACCATCTACGCCGCCGACGCCGCCGAAGCTCCAGTCCGCCGCCCGCTAACCCAGCGCAAACTCCAGTATCATTACAAACCCGAGGGAGCAGGCACCAACCGCCACCTCGCATCCCGTGCCCCCTCCCCCTCGCGGAAACCCCCTGCCCCCCGTCGCCTGTGCTAGGGTTGCAGCCGTATTCCTCCGGCTTTTGTTTCCCGGGACACAGGGAAGATGTCGTCGACGCAGAAGAAGAAGAGCAACTATAAGGAGAAGATGGCGCGGCGGAAGTGAGTCCCGCATACCTGTCTGTCTGCACCTTTTGTTTTCGATTTGTTCTAATAGCATGGTTAGTGATGTACTGATGTTCATATCATGTGGCTTGCGAATTTGAATGACGTTTATCACCTAGTTGACATAGCTGGGGCGATGGTTCTGGTACTAATTTGAGGGAAAATTACAGAAACATACCAATCCTGCTCATCAGATTATCGTTGTAAGCATGTTTCATGAGCAGGAGAACCATGATTAAATATCGATAGCGCTGAATAAATGGAGTCCTGCAAATCCATGGGACTCAATAGTCTCCCACAACTCTGGGGGGCTCTGGTTAGTGTTCATTACTTAGACCATGGTGGCCATGCTGCCATGCTGTCATACTGGGCATAATTCAAACACTTTCTTTGTCTTTTCATGTACCAGTTTTTGGAGTCTGAAATCATGTAGAAACAGGAAATTTCATGATAAATCAGATACGTGCTCAACTACCTCAAACATACCTTTCTTGCTCACCTAATTCTCATTGATCTCCTCATGAAGAGAGGAGAACAAAAAAGAAGAACCAGAGACACCAAGGTACCGAGATCGTGCGAAGGAGCGTCGTGAAGATCAAAACCCTGACTATGAACCTACAGAGCTTGGTTCGTTTCATGCCGTGGCACCTCCTGGAGCAGATTTGAGGTAATAGACCCCATGATTCACATGTCTCCTACAGCCATCCTGTGCTCAATTTACCATAATGTTCTTCTATATTTAAGTTCTGCAATTGTTTGCATTACAGGCTAGAAGATGCCCAAAAGATTTCAATTGAGAAAAGCAAATACCTTGGAGGTTGGTATAGTTGTCATATTTATTTATCTTGATGATAAACATCTTCTGCTTGTTTTTTTATGTGTGTTTCCTCTTGCACTCAATAAATGTATGCACATGAGTGCAAGGATATGCATGAGGTGTCTGAATTGTGCTAAGTTTGCTTCAGACTTCTAATGTGAATGAGAAACGATAAAAAAATCCTTATGTCTGTAAACCTGTCACAGCCAGTACAGGCAGCTTCGGCTTGTAGCCTCACCGCCGGCTAGCCATGGTAGGATGCAGCGGTGTCTAGAATAGCATGCGCATAGGAGAGGGGTGCTAGGGGGTAGGAGAGAATCACGAGGCAGATGACAGATTGATAATTCTATCGCTTGCCCTTTTGTTTGACCATGATCCTCTCCTTATAAATTATAGTTACAACCATGAGACAGACTCAGACTGAACTCCAAAGCTTTCCTAATTAAACTCTTTTCCTAACACAATGCAAACTACAAACATAAAAGCCAAACTACTACTCCCTCTGTCCCATAATGTAAGACGTTTTTTGACACTAGTGTAGTGTCAAAAAACGTCTTATATTATGGGACGGAGGGAGTACCTAATTAATGCCCGCAGAAGCTTGCTGCTATCCTGGACGGACATGCCTCTTGAGTGCAATCTGACCGTGACAAAACCTGCCATGGTTTTAGAAGTTCTATTTCTGAATGAAGTATGAAGAGCGAAATCTGCATGCGGTGAAAAAAAAACGAAATCTGCATTATGATTGATTGATCTGGTCAATCAGTAATGTGCAATCATCAAAATTGTGGAAACAGCCTTTATCTGTTCCATTTTAACGTGCAGTCGACAAGAGGCTAGTTTTGCTTCCCCCAATAGAGCTATTTTGACCTGTCATTCTCTAAGTACATGTATTTTCTTGTCTGGAAAAGATCTGATTTGTGAAGTTAATCCTCTTTAACATTCTTTTATTTGAAAAGAAAAGTAGTTAATTTAGAAGAACATACTTTCGAAGGTAACATGATATGCTGTTTTGGAAATGGTAGCTTAGATCTCTGATGCTCAAATTTGTCTTTCTTTGGTACTACATTATGATTAATGTGCCATTTCCACTTTATGCTCTTAATAGGCGATCTGGAGCATACTCATTTGGTCAAAGGGTTGGATTTTGCTCTACTAAACAAAGTACGGAGTGAAATTGACAAGAAGCCTGATGCAGAGGATGGGAAGGATGCCAAGGCGAGGTACTTGCAACCACAGTATAGCTTTAGCTATGTAACACTACTGTAACACTGAGTAGGGCTTTTATGAAAATTACCAGATTTTAATGCACATTTAGGATCCTGTAAATATGCCAACAAGAGTGCTGTCACTTGCATAATTTTCATTTGTATGAAATTGAACTAATGATCTGAATTCACTATGGAAGAACAAACTGGACAACCTCTTGCTAGCTCTTTGTAGGATTTTGACATGATTTTCAGAGAGGAGAGGCCAAGTACCCTCCTGTTGGGATCTTGGACAAGAGTTTCTTATGATGATGCAGTTTCCAGTATCTGTTAGAAATGGACATTTTGTCTTATGACTTATGAGAGACAAATGCAATTTCCTTGCCTTATGACTTGTGGGAAAGAGGGACCAAGCCGAACTTGTTCTATCTCTGCCTCTCTGTTGATGGATAATTTACATTTATATCTGCTAGCAGAGCTTAAGCTAAACCTAAGAGGGGGCCAAGCTAGTGAAACAAACACAAACATTATGGTAGCTAAACATGTACACATTACCAAGGACTTTTCCAGGGATAGGATGGGCCAGTACCCTCCTGGCCTATATGAAGCTCCGCCAGTGCCTGCTGCGGCTCTTTATAACATTAGCAACCTATTTCCTGAACCAGTCACCAGCATGACCTTGTGTCGAAATAAAACAAAAATATAGTGTATCTCTGAAAATTTTGAACTGGAAAAGTAGGGGTGAACCCTCTGAAGTACTCCCTCCGTAAACTAATATAAGAGCGTTTAGAATGCTAAAGTAGTTATCTAAACACTCTTATATTAGTTTACAGAGGGAGTATGATGTTATGCCCTTCTCTAGATCTCTTTAGGATGTTGGGAGCATTTCTACATTATTTTTCACTTCCCTTTTCAGGGAAACAAAAGAAGACCGGGCAGTCTCATTCCGCACTGCAATTGCAAAGGTATAATTCATTTTATTTATTAGTGTAACTTGCACACAACCTATGTAACATAAAATGGATACTGATTGACATTTTCATTGATTGCAGTCTGTCTATCAGTGGACTGTAAAGCAACAGCAAAGCATGACAAAGGCGAATGATATGTTTCTTCCTGGCCGGATGGCATTTATTTACAATATGGTATTGTCTTCAAAATTTCTCGTGTTGGTGTTTTTGTGTGCTTAATTACGTAATGCTGATGATTATACACATCTCACTTGTAGTAATAGTGGCCATGCTGTGTACACTGTAATCTCTTTCCTGTTTTCCTTTGTAGGAATGATCAGACTTCCTACAGTAGGCTTAACGAAAATTTCTTGTTTATGGAAGTGTTCAGTTCTTTAATACAGTTCAGTATACGCAATGTGTGGTTAATTATTTTTCTTGTTCCAACCAGGAGGATGGACTTAACAGTGATATTCCAACAACTCTTCACAGGAGCAAAGCTGATTGCCCTGTCCCAGAGGTACTGGAACAGTAACCATGTCGCTGTTTTTGTAACTGTGTTATCTTATTGCTCAGACGGTTATCTTGTTTCTACAGGAAATGGTCACTGTCAGCGTGGATGGCTCTGTACTTGACAGGATTGCCAAAATCATGTCATACCTTAGACTTGGATCATCAGGGAAGGTCTTGAAGAAGAAGAAAAAGGAGAGGGATACAAAAGGTATGTGCTTCAAAATGAAAGTGGTTCTATCAATCTATCATAGTAGAGGATATTAGAGTGAGACCTAAGAACAGGATTACAGGAAGCGTTCTTCATTAAGGCGTGAGAAAACATGCTAGAGTAATTTTTCTGTATGAAGGAGAAATGTTGGATGAGTGTTTATATTGTTACGGACATCGCAAAGTCTGGCCTTTGTTTGGCTTTATTAATTTAAAGCTGAGCGCGCCTTGCGCCTTTTATCTAAAGAAAACATCCAAAAGTAAGATTAATACTTAAGATGGTTTAGTTTTAATTCAATTGTTCTTATAAACTTCTGTCAAGATTTAACTTCTGGTGCTTGTGTTATGTATACTAATCTTGGTTTTGTTCTGCTTGATTTCAGTAGTTAAATTAGTATTGGTTATTTGTGATATATCAATTGGCTTAAATCATTTGTGATATATGATGTTACTATAATTTCTGTACTACTGTCTTGTTTTTTATATCGCAGGGAAGAATAATTTGGCAGGTGGTGTCTACAATGAGGTAGTACGACCTGCCCAAAGTGATGGTTCTGTTCAGAAACACCAGTCTGAAAAGGATATGCCACCGCCACCCCCACCCCCACGAAAGAGTAACTTCAGTGAAAAGGAGAAACATTCTGTCCCTGTTGCTAGAGCAGATGACGATGACATATTCATTGGAGATGGAGTTGACTATACTGTTCCTAACAAGGAAATGAGCCAGAGCCCCATCTCCGAAGATATGGATGAATCCCCACGTGTCCATCAGAATCAGTCCAATTTGAATGAACCTGTGTATGGTCCTATTCAACCATCTGAACCTGCTCAAGCTTGGCAACAGCCAATGGTAATTTTCTTTTTATGTTCAGCAACATCAGTTCTGGTGAATATAGTACGTAGTGTTTCAATGATGCAGGTTGATTGTTTAGCGGAAGTGTAAATATTATTATCAGTCTACATTTCCAGTGTGCTACAAAACTAGCTGTTGTAGTTTAGGAAACAAAATGTCTGTTTTCCTTTTAACCCAGATGCCTGAAGGTTTGTCTCTTGTGATGTTAGGATGGTTATGATGCTATGCAAGCCCAAATGGCAGCTGCTGGATACCAAGGCGAGTGGTCAGGCTATCAGTATGCTGAACAGCAGCTGGCTTATCCAGAACAGTACATGCAACAGGGTACTGTGGGATACGATGTATTAGTTGACCCAAATATATCTCAGGATCCAAGGTTGATGACTCAAGCAGACAAGGATAAGGGTCTAGGTTCTGTCTTCAAGCGTGATGATGACAGGCTTAAGCAGCTGAGGGAAAAAGATGCGCGGGAGAAAGACCCAAATTTTATTTCAGATAGTTACTCTGAGTGTTATCCTGGTTATCAGGGTTATAATCAAGAGATCGCAGGGAGTGACGATGAAGATGATTTGTCAAAGATGGATATGGGTGGGCGGGTAAGTGAATCTGTTTTTGCGCTGATTTTGCAGTACAAGCCTATGTTTGAAACGTATACGAGTATATGTGAGGTGTCACTTACCAGGGTTTCATGTCCATACTCTATTCTAACTATGACGATACTTGAGCAGGCGAAGGGCCGTCTTCACCGGTGGGACTTTGAGACGGAAGAAGAGTGGGCGAAATACAACGATCAGAAGGAAGCCATGCCAAAGGCGGCATTCCAGTTTGGTGTGAAGATGCAGGATGGCAGGAAGACCAGGAAGCAGAACAAGGATCAGAAGCTCAGCAACGACCTCAACAAGATCAACAAGATCCTGGCGAGGAAGAAGGGCGATAAAGATGGAGGTGAAGGGCATTATGACGACGATCTACCCAGCGGGAAGAAACAGCGAGCTTGATCTAACTGGTCATCCATTGTTTTTCTTTTTCGTCTGTCTTGTTGGAACTGTGAAACGGCCATGCTTTTGTGAGCTGAAACCATTAAGTCTGTAGCCTGTAGTTTCATTTTTGATGGACATTAGTCTTGCATGGCATTCGTTGTAGAATATGTAAACCAGATGGTCCCACCTAGTCAGGTCAGGCAAAAGTACCAGACATGATAAGAGAGGCCATGTAAAATTGTGGGAGACGATTCTGATCTGGTGGCTTCCGCGGGAAATATCCGTCTCTTGTCACGGGGAAAATAGCTTCACCTAATTCCTTTCATCCCACTCGCCCCCATTCCGTACTACCGAAAAACTACTTGGCTGTGCTCCCATGCCTTTGAGCGGCGGCACCATAAACCACAGAGAGGACATGGTCTCGTTTTTCTTTAAAAAAAGACCTGTAACATCTCCGGAAAGTCTTAAATAAATGCTGGTCTAGGAAACTGATGGGCTAGTTCCACCATAAAAAAACTAAAACCTCGATAAATCCTGAAAGTTTGGATTTTAAGCATGTCACCTCGAACGTTTTTTGATGACAACTTTAGTTGATATGAGGTGGCAAGTTTAGTTGTTAAAACATAGCAATTTTCTGACAAAAAAATTATGTTTGTCAACCTGGCGTCGACTAAAGTTGCCATAAAAACACGTTCGGGTTGTCATGCTTAAAATACGAACTTTCAAAAATTATCATTTCTAAAAATCTAACCATCTAAGCTACGCTTAGTTCGCAAACACTAGCTTTTTTTAAAAGAAAAATCTAGCCTCTCAAATGGTCTCGCTGTCAGTCTCAGCTTCTCAGTTTTTTTTCGAGACAAAAGATAAACTCAGCCTCTCAGTTTTTTCTTTGAAATAAGCGAAGCCTCTGTATGGTCTCGCTCTCGGGCGGCAAAACATGAGCAGACTTTTGTTACGACCCATGAACAACAAGCCCTCGGCGGCCCACTGATGAGAAGCCCTATACTCCAAGTCTCCAATTCGTAAATTTCGTCCATGGATGCATCCCCTTCCCCTGGAGAGGAGGTCCTCCCGTCGCCGGCGAGGCGACAGATGAGATGAGCCTCTCCGCCACCTTCCGGGTCGCCAAAATTCCCCGCACCACCCTCCCTCCAAAGTCTTGCAAGGCCACCCCCTCCTCGGTATCGGCCTCCTCCGCCCCCGCGTCCGGAGATCCACCGCCCAAGGCCGCCAAGAAGAAAAAGGAGGCGGCGCCGTGGTGCGTCTACCTCATCTCCTCCTCCCGGGCCCCTCGTACATACGTCGGCGTCACGACTGACTTCCCTCGGCGGTGATTCATCCTCCTTTTCCCTTTCGGGTTTCTACTCTCTAGCCTGATATAGCCTCAGGTGGCCCTGGTGAATTGGATGAACTTTCAAATTGATTCCTCCATTTGGTTGCAATCCCCTCGAGAAACTGCAATTTTGTATTAGCTCGACACTAAAGAAGATTAATCGATTCTACTGCTTCCACAATTTTGTGTTTGCTGATGATTCCCTGGAAAATAAAACAAGATCCAGTAACTGAGAATTGGCTCCTCTGATAAAAGCCTGAATAATATTGTCGCTGCCATGATTGTTTTTTAGGCTGTCTTGTCTTGCTCAGGCATGTAGCTTGAGATTCTTTTTGTGTTCGTGTTGGGACTAGGGGTGCATAAAAGGTTAGAAAGTATTCTTACACAAACACACACAAAAAAGAATACTATGTTTAATCACATGACTTAAGTTCTTATTTCCTAACGAAAGGATCATTCTTTTTCTAGCTTGAGACAACATAATGGCGAGTTAAAAGGTGGTGCCAAAGCCTCTTCTGCTGGAAGGCCATGGAATCTCGCATGCCTTGTCGAAGGCTTCACGAACAGAAGTGAAGGTTAGTTAAGTAAAAATCTCATCTTTCTACAGCTTCATGCTTTGAGCGAGATTGATGTACCACTAGAATTGCACACCATGCTCTAGTTTGTATGCAACTTTATGTTTACCCTAAACACCTACATGCATCTTTATCCTAAACACCATGCTTTATCCTAAACACCTACATGCGTGTTTATCCTGATGTGCAATAGAGTGGTCCACCTTTCTTCTATAATTTCGTACTTTGTTTAGTTTAACGACCATTCAGTTATGGCGGTTTGTTGATTAATTCACTGTTTGGTGTAGATCGATGCCATTAGTTTTTGGCTTCTTTCCCTCTCTTCACATTAGAGAAATGCTAACATGGTCAGCAGATTTGATTGTTTTATTAGTCCATTGACACTTTTGAACACAGAATGAGTACTTCGCAGTATACATCCTTGAAGAGCATATTTAGTTCTTACAGCGAAAGAAAATGTCCGTTTCTGTGCTCAAGTTTAAATGAGCAAGATGTTCTATTTACCTTTTTTTTTTCAGCATGCGAGTTTGAATCGAAATGGAAGAACATCTCCAAGAAGATGACACGGAAGAGGAGTGAGCCTGGCATGAATGCAGTATTGCAGCACCGGGAAGTGGCATTGAGCAGAGTAAAAACCTTTCTGGATTGCAACCACCTCAACATCAAATGGCACTCAAGCTGAGGCCGTTTCTCCAATTTTTGTATGTACACATGTTTTACTATGCAAGAAATCATCCATTAACTTACGAAGTTGGCGAGGTTTTTTTGTAGAGGCTTTTCTGCTTCCATGGTTTTGTACAAAAAAGGTTCCCATGTCTTGCAGCTCAAATGAGCATGCATGACACATTCATCTGCTAGCCAAATGATCATGCTGGCAATTGTCTTTGCTAAGAAGGCACCTGAATCGAGTGAGCTGGTGATTGCAATTTTTTTTGTACGTGCTCTTTATTGACAGCATCAGGCATTGTTTAGCCTGGGTTGGATAAGAATGGTGTAAAATGTATTTTTGTATAATGATTGATCCCTTGCGTTGTTATGTTGAGATATACTCCCTCCGTTCCTAAATATAAATCTTTGTAGATATTTCACGACCACATATGAATGTATATAGATGTATTTTAGAGTGCAGATTTTCACTCATTTTGCTATGTACTATGTAGTTTATTGTGGAATCTCTACAAAGACTTGAACGGAGGGAGTAGCTTATTTGCAGCTTATTTGCGCCTCTTTCAGCATTTTTCTAGTTCAACGTATTTTGCCAGCAAAAGGACTATGAAATTTGAGCATGTTCATTGTATGAAAACCAAACATAGTTATATTTGGTCAATCTAAGAGCTGCAAAGTGGGAAGAGGATTTGTAGCTCTCAGGTGCCACACACAGCAATAAAAAACATATTAGAAAATTTCAAAAAATTCTGATTTTTTGGGATATGAAACCTAGATGCCCGTTGTACACCCGTGTTCAGTTTCATGGGGAATGTTGTAATGTCAGTGAATAAAGACAAAGAATTCGTATGTATAGAAAAAAAGTTGGATGCATCATATGCCCGACCGTAATTTCTGCGCCGCGGGTACTACGCGCACCATTCCCCGCAAAAATGAACACGGGTGTACGATGGGCATCCAGATTTGATATCCCAAAATTTCAGATTTTTTGAAATTTCCTAATATTTTTTAATGCTATTTTCATATAGGGGGTGCAAGGCACACGGGTGCTCCAAATGCATTTCCCCTGCAAAGTGCGCCTGTGTTATCCGATAGGAAACCAAGGAGAAAATGAGTGAAAATTAAGCAGAGCAAATGCCTTATAACATAACAACATGATGTGACAGTGTAATACTGCCATCATCACAACCCCAGGTAACACAGTTTATGTTATTTATAAACTTCACAGTAACAGCACATTAGATTCGCAGGTCGATCACAGGAAAAGTATGTTCAGGCTGTCAATAATCATCATGGGTACAATAATGCACTACTTATATAGTAGCTCGCTGGAGTTCAGCCCACACATCGAGCTCTGAAGACACTGGGACTGGAATGCAACCAACGCTCATCACAGGCAACGATAGGTGACGAACCTGCACTGCAATGGCGCGATGATTAGTGGCATGGCAATGAAATAGGCATGTAAATTCAATATGCAAAGTCAGCTTTGTCTTTGTCAGACTAAACACGGAAAGCAAAACAGAGCATAATTTCAACATGTACTTGCATGGAAGATTTTAATTCTTTTCTTTGCAAACACAGAGCAGAGCAGTGCCATATCAGCAAAACCAAGGGAGGTACTGTAAATGAATTATCAAGTTCAAGCATGAAGCATTTGATTGATGGTCAACTTTTCAATTTACTCTCCTTCAGATGCATCACTCATATATGCAAATAAATTCAGCTTTCATGACCACACAAACCGTCTGTTTAGTTACTTTCTACTACCTCTGTTCCTAAATATAAGACGTTTTGGCAGTTCAATTTAAACTGCCCAAACGTCTTAATATTTAGGAACAGAGGGAGTACTAGTTAAATCATAACAATGTTACAGCTGTAGATTACTAGTTAAATCATACCAATGTTACAGCTGTAGATTACAGTAGTTAACAGATCAATCACACCAAAGTTATCTTGCTATGTTAAAATATTCCCATCCATTAATAAATCAATCGAAATATTTAGGAACAGAGGGAGTACTAGTTAAATCATAACAATGTTACAGCTGTAGATTACTAATCATACCAATGTTACAGCTGTAGAATACAGTAGTTAACAGAATCAATCACACCAAAGTTATCTTGCTATGTTAAAATATTCCCATCCATTAATAAATCAATCGAGTTCTCCAGTTGTCGAGGGGCTAGAACCTACCAACGAACAAGTAGCAAACAAAAGCCAGTAAGAAAAGTTATCCTAAGCAATCCCTGGTATTTTTGCTGACACTACAAGAATCAACAAGGGGATAAACCTCATCAACTAAATCAACTAATCTACCACCGCCATCTGATAACTATAACACACGCAAGCATATCATTATCAATTAGCAAAGCAGCGTTTCAATAAGAAACTCACAGTAAAACGGAAACCCACAATTTCTAGTTCATTGCACTTCAGGACAACATATGGCCATGGTTCAAGAATTCTGACTTTGCATACAAACTGAAAATTAAACAGAAAACAGGCGTCTTCATGTTCGGCATAGCGATAATAATAGATGCTTAATTTGAGATTCTCATCTCGACAACAGAAGGAGAACCATGTTCACATAGACAACAAACCCTTATAAGTAGTAATAAAAAGGAATCATATGCAAAGGCGAGGGGAATAACAATATACATGGCGGGGGTGATGAGGCTAGTTGTAGTAGAGCTCGAGGCCCATGCCGTCGTGGATCTCGTAGTCGCCGAGGGTGATGTGGTCCTTGTAGATGGTGTACCACTTCTGGATGCGGATCTTCTCGGCCCTGGTCCCGGTCTGCGCCGCCACGAGCTTCTTGAGGTCGCCGATGGTGTCGTCCTCGTTGCACTTGACGCGCACCTTCTTCCCCAGGCGGTCGTTGAGCACCACCTCGATCATCTTCGCTCCCGCTCGCGTCGACTGATCGATCGATCGACGAAACCCTAGCCCCGGCGAGAGCTGCAGCGGCCTTGTGCTTTTCGATTGAGAATTGGGGGTGGTGGTGGTCAGGTCGCAGGAGGGAGCCGTCCTTGTCTTTTCTGTTCGTCCAGAGGGAAATAGACGGCGTAGATTCCACGCAGCCGTACGCCACCTGGTCTCGGCGTCCTGATCAGGACACGTCAGCGCTGACGCCCTGCACCCTTCTTTGATAAAACCGTCCGATTATATTACTATATCGACCGGCGAAAATCGTTGAGAACAATCTGTTTCCTTCCTTCACATGGCACATTGTAGTGTCGTAATTCATACTCAAAATCTATCATTGGTGTGGATGACGTAACTCTAATGGACTTTTGCAAGACGACACTTACCACCATTAGCCATGACGCCGCTTGCATCGAGTTACAGCCCCCTTTGAGCCTCGCCAAGGGCGGTGTTTGTTCGAAGTAATTTTTAGGTGTGACGAAGGTTACCCTCATATGCGACTCAACTCATTTTTGAAACAAAGAAACACCTGGGTGCTGTGGAAGCAAAGAAACGCGAGGGTTTTCAACAGAATCCACCAACAAAGAACCCCACCAGAGTTAGTTGAAATGATGATGGCCGAAATCAAAGAATGAAAGCTTGCAGGCATAGGAGCAAGAGGGTTAGATCCTTTCGTGAGAGGGTAGACTAGTGGTTAGCGATGTTGCGTGTGTGCCGACCTATAATGTTCGCATTGGTGGTTGGCTTCTTATAATTAAACTCTCTGCCTTCTATAAAAATATGGTACGCTATTAACGTACTCTCAAAAAAAAATCTTGACACAAGTATTATATACATCTGCTATACAATGCAAGTTTTATGTATGACAACAGTCAAACCTTGCCAGATTGTTGCGCCCACCGCTGGCTAAGGAATGACCTTTGGCTCATGCCCACCTCACCCGAGCCAACCGGCGTTTTCGGTCCTTGCACTTTGAGTTTTTGTTTTTTCAGCCTTTTCCATGCAACATCATGAAACTCGTGATGCAACATCGTGGAACAAGCGTAATGAACGAGCCATGTATCGGCGGTTCTTATTTATGGTCGGTTCTACATCTAAAAAGATATCTATAACCCGCTTATGTGTGTTGCTGCCGCATGGAGCTTAATTGTACGATGCCACAATCTTTTCTTTGGTCCACCCTCTCTAGAACCTTGTCAATCGAGCCAGCTCATCATTGTCATCGCCCACCATTCTGCTCATGTCCACAAATCTCTCATAATGTGCTCTCTCGGCATAGCCTTGGCTAACAGCCTCCCAACACCACCACTGCATCTTCTCCAGTCCTTCCTCTACCTATAGACCAACACCCAGAGTTGCAAAGCGGACGCTGGAGCCAAGCCGCACAACGCCAGTCACCTCGGTTGCTGCAAGCCAGGGGTGCCCATGTTGTAGGCTCGAGGGGAGCTGACGCTGCAAGATGGACCCTATGTTGCAAG